AACAGTCATGATCCTTCTAGAAACTCCAGCGCGCAAGCTTCCAGCGTCACACGACTTCCGCTGTCGTAACAATATCTTATTAGAGAACCTAAACAAAAAACATTGACAGAAAAGAAAAGGAAAACGCTAGCAGTATGAGACTAACCACAAAAGTTGAATTTTGGTTATTTAAAGCCAACTTCAGAGTCGTCATTAAAACATTCTGATGAACTCTCAGTTCTACTAACTATTGTAAAGTTGATATTCGGTTGGTTATATCGATTTTTTTTTTCAGTGAATAAACACCTGGTGGTGATAACTCGTAACTTATCGAAACATTGGCTTTACATTTTAGATTATTTGTAGTTGTTGTGTTCTTTTAAATATATTTTAACTCAACTGCTTTTCGATTTTAATATTTCATCCTATCCTTGTAAAAAAGAATAACATTAATTTCAGAATATTTTGTAAATATTTAAATTAAAACATTACATACTACAGTGATTTTTCGCGCATGTCTGTTCGGGTGTTGTAGTAATTAATGCTGTGATAATTTGCTTTTATGAATTTTACTCATTAATAAAGCTCAAGCAAGTCCTCGTGAACTACTACAGGTATATAGAGATTTAGAAAGTAGAAACTTTTACTATTTAGTGCCACCTAGTGGTATACTAATAAGTATTGTCAGTCATGAGTTTCTTCATTGACTTAAATTTTTAACCACAAATTCCAATCGTGTCATGTAAATGGTTATTGGTATAATAAAGAAACTGTTGGAAAAAAAAACATTGCATGATTTACGAAGAAATGCGCACGCGCGAGTGGTTTCTTTAAGATCAGAACCTCACAGTGAGCTATCTGAGCGCCTTCCCCAGGAATCGAACCCCGGATTTTAGAGTTATAAATCCATCAAGTTATTGCTGGCTGGTAATACACTTTTTTTTGATTTTTTAAAGTGCGTTTAACATATTATTCGTGCCATATAATAATTATTTTTTTGTTACACTTTTACTCTTAAGCGAAGGTCAATTCCAACATAACTAAAGCAATATGCAGGAACTGAACTGTAGTGTTTAATAAATTCTTATACAAGATTTAATTTTGCCAAGATTTTGTGAACTGTAGCATGTAATACCACGCGTTCAGAAGAACGAGCTGATTTGAATATTAGTAAACTTCCAGCAGACTTATCGCTGAGTGTGTCTAGCTTTTCTCTCACGTAGAAACACCTCTCACACTGGCCGCAACTCTTCGTCAACCTCGGCACGTCATAATGGTCCTAACCAATGGCGGAGCACGGTTCGACTTCACAAACACGGACGGACGGACAGCTTTACATCGAGCTGTAGAGGCAAATAATTTGGAGGCTCTCAAAGTAAGTTGATTTAAATATTAGGTTCGTTACATTAGATAAACTCTATGT